GTCTTTTCCAAATGATCTTTGTGCCCAAGTATAGAAACAATACACCAAGTAATAAAAAAATAATGATCAATGTTAAAGTTTTTGGATGACAACAGCAACAGGATACGGGAACGCGGACCTGACTGTGGCAATTAACATTACGCCGCCTGTAAATCAGTCTGGTAGTGGTCTTACAGATAAGCCAATCGGCGACCGTTATCAGTTTCACGCTAAGATGTCTGAGAAGTCCGCCATTTTTCTTAGACAAGATATTTGTATAAGAAAATGGTGGACCAGTATTTATATTGAAATTATTTTGATTTTTGTCATTTTAAAGCTATAAAAACGGTTTATCTTAGTTACAAAATATCCTGACATATTGACAGATGGAGTCAGTTCATTTTACAAAAACAAAAATATCAGTAACTTTCTATATATGAAGATAATAAGTATATAGCAGGTACGAAAGTTAAAACTGGCTATACCACATTGCATTAAACAAGGAAAACGTTTAAACAAATACTCTTTTCCTTCCTTCATTACAAATATGTCAATTCATAATCACATAATAGAAGGTCTCAGAATATCCAGATGACATTTTTGTTCGTTCTTAACATAGTGTCTATAAAATGCTGAAGTAGAAAGAAATACTTGCAAATAAAATGAGAGAATATGTAATAAATATTTTAGGTGAAATTATCCTATCTAAATATTTCTATTAAAGCTATATGAATTAAGATTAAATATTAAAATACATCTGCTTCAATAACATCATATCTGATCACGGTTTTAATTTAAAACCGGTTTTAATTTAAAGCCGAGGTCTGGTATATGCGAAACTTATTTTCAAGTGAATATTATTGTGTTTTATCACGAAAATATCTAATGTACAAATATACATATAATCATATATCATACAACAAAGTTACGCAAGGACAATTAATATTCTCATTTAATTTTGACAATTTATGCACAAATGCATTACATATAAGTGATTTTGCATATAAACCAAAAAAACATTTGTAAATGTTACTGTTTCATTGATGTAATTTTACTTTTATATGTTCCGCTACATCAATTTTAACTATCTTTGAATTTGTAAACTAAAATTTTATTTTGTCAGTAACATCTTCCTTGAAGTCAGCGAGAAATATAACAAAATCTTTGCCAAACGTTTTATTCATCATTAATGCATGAATGCAGTTAATTGTTACTTTTTTGAATACCATAATACATTAAACTATTCAAAAAAAGCATTACAGTTTTATATATACGAAATTATATAAGGTAAATTCATTAGTCACTTAATTGGCATGACAGTTTCGCGTAAACGTTGGCACCGTCTATTGTCTAAGGTTCTGAATGACCGGGTCACGTGAATCAGTGGGCGGAGCAATCTCTTCTCTGATGTAATGTCAATTCCTCTATATTTTTTTTCTTTGGAAAAAAAATCGAAATAAAGATAACAAAACAGAAGATAAATATCTATTACAAACTCCTTCAAAACAAACCCTTTTTGCAGGTCTAGAGCTGTTAGTAATAAGCGGTGTTTACGATATTTTATGTTGATGAACTGTTCTATGTAAAACACCAGACTTAGTACTGAGCATTCCTGTAAAGTTTTCATGAAATTGCACCAGTAGTTTCTGAGGAGTAGTAAAGACAAGTTTTGTGACAGACGCCAGAGAAGGGATCCCTACATGTCACCACTACTCCGTATAGGCAACACAATAAACCACAAAAATATCAGGCAAATTTTAAGTTGTGTTCAACTCGATATCGAGATAATTTTGACAAGAGAAATTTGAGTTCCTGCATACTTAAAAACTGTAGATATCCAGACATAAGAATATATGCACTGGTTTATCAATCTAATGTTCTTTTTTCCCCTTTTCATTTTGACGTTTATGCGCTGCTAATGATGTTCTCACAAAACTTTTTATCATTGTCCATGATCTGTATTTTAAACATGGTTCCTTACTGATTAAATCTTCACACTCTTTTTTTTATGGTAACTTGACAAATAAAAATCATCTGTGTAATCCTTTCTTTACAGCCTCTTTTTCAATCTCTGTCCATGGTTTTCTCATGCCTTTTTGGGGGTAAGTTTTACCTATTAAGATATACGTTTGTACATTTAAATTTTTAAACAAACATCCTTTAATAACATACAGGACTGTAAGCTGTTTATCTAATAAAGCTTCAAACAATAGCAGATTGAGTCATCAGCTCCACTGAATAAAAATTATACATAAGGTCACATTTAGAATATTGACATGAGGTTTTTTTTAAATAAAGATTTTTTGAAATGCACAATCACTTGAAATGCACAATCACTCTCAATCAAACGAGGGTATCATTGGGACAATAAACAGCAATTGGGGAGTTTGTGAGAATGTGCAAGCAAATGAGTAAACAGAAGTGTTTAATATATTAAAAGCTTTTCGTGTCAATTAACAGAGGAATTATCAGTTTCAATATTACAATTGGACTGTTATACAGCCTGAAATGTTCTTGAAAGTCAATATGGCGTCTTTGGATCTGCGCTGGAATGGATAGATTCATATTTGAGGCCGCGTAGCTGTCGAGTGAGTGTTAACTCGAATGTGTCATCAGAACGGGAACTTGACTGTAGTGTCCCCCAGGGAAGCTGTTTGGGCCCTTGGCTCTACTTGACGTACGCAGGAACTATCTTTGACATTGTACCTCCCTCCATTTCCGTGCACGGATTTGCCGACGACCACGTTGCAAATAAATGTTTTAAACCATCACCTACCGCAGAAGCAAGCGCAATTCAGGACCTCCAGGACTGTGGAGTGCATATAAATGATTGGATGAACAGCAACAAGTTAAAAATGAACAATTCAAAGACAGAGTATATTCTTTTCGGAAGTCGTCCACAGCTGAAATAGTGTAACACCAAAGAAATCAATATATGTGGTAATGTTATTGAATCACAACATTGTATACGGTATCTTGGTGCTTTTTTGGATGAGTCTCTAAATTTCAAAGATCACATTAAAAGGAAGTGCAGAACTGCTATGTTAAACTATTTCAAGATCAAGGGCATTCGAAAGTATCTGACAAAGGGAGCCGCTGAAACACTTGTTTTATCTTTAGTAATATCCCATTTAGATTATTGCAACATCATTCTATACGGCATATCTCAAAATGAATTAGCCAAACTTCAACGTATTCAAAATATGTGTGCCAAACTGGTGTTAGGTCGTTCCAAGTATGATAGTTCTAAACAGGCATTATTCGATCTGCACTGGCTTCCGATTAAAGCACGAATCAGTTTCAAGATACTGACATACATGTATAACTGTTCGGTAGGAAACGCACCATCATATTCAATAGAGCTTTTGTCTCATCAAGTGTCAAAACGAACCTTAAGATCATCTGAATCCTCGGTTGGTTGTTAATATGTTGTTCCTTTTAATAAGAAGAGGACTTTTTCTGACAGAGCTTTTAGCACGATAGGACCAAAATTGTGGAATGAACTACCTATTAATATGAGAAAATGTGAATCTGTTGAAATTTTCAAAAGACAACTGAAATCATTTTACTTCAAGGACTTTTTTGCACTTTTTTAAGTGACGCTGAAGGCATTGTCTGTTCCTAATTGTTTTGTGCATGTTTGTATATTTCTATCAGTTTTTATTATTTTCATTGTACAATAATATAATAAAGTCTAGCCCATGTGTTATCATGTGCAGGGGTGCAGGGGTGTAGATTGTTACATGTTGGTGGGGATTGACCCAATCACTGTGACCGTCGCACTGCTGGGAGTATTGTGTATGGTAGCACTGGGAGTAGCACATATAAGGTATATAGCTGTACAACGCCATTGAATATGTATTCTATATGTAGAAATAGGCGTTAAATCAAGTTTTCAAGTTTTCAAATTTTGCAAATAAGAATTTAATCTTTATGTTGTTGTTTTTTGTACTGAAATCTAAATTAAGCAAGTTTAAGGCAAATTTTTTCTGATTTTTTTCTTAGTATCTGAAATGCAAATTTAAGACTGCGCAAATTTATAATAGTGATTGTTTCCCAGGCATATACTTTAACAATATTGTTTGTATACATGCCATAACATGTCCCACTTCAATAATCAAAAATAAAAAGTGAAAGAAAGAAGCCCGCCTCCAAAAAGCTTATTCTTATTATTTTCAATTTGTGATCAGGTGATCAATGATCAAGACTACAAACTTACCAATGCCACGTTTCATATGTTGCTGTTCCTTATATTTAAAATCAGAATCGGTTGCGGAGTAATCAGGTGATTCTGTTGCTACTTGGCAAAATTTGTCAGAAGCATTTTCATCATAACTGGTATCATACTCTTCATCATCATTCTCATGACTCGACTCTTCAGCATCTAAATAGAAATTGAATCATTTAGAATGACAGTCAGTACTTGAAAACATGCAAATGATCACGAATATCTCCTTTACTTATTAAATTTTATTGCTAATATAAAATTTAGAAACTATTACAGACATCAAAACAACTTCATACCTACAACATCCATAGATTATAAAATAAACAAATTATCTACTAGTATTTACATTTTATCACTGATAAAGTAATAAGACCAAAGTTTCAATCTAGAGATCCTCCCTCTAAATTATTAAAAGCCGGATTCAACTGTAATCCTCTAAAAATATACTTCATTTACTTATGGTCCATTAGCCATGGTATAATGCTAGTTCCCTAATGAATCACTTCATATCAATGTAACCCATTAATCATTATCCTGCAGCTTAAATAAGTTTGCAAACTTACATACTTAATTTCAACCCCAGAAAAAACAATCTTCTCGTTCGGTCTGGAATTTTCAATATTTGTACCCTGCATCATCTCCACTCCTGAAAATATTTCTTACATGACTCAACTCAATCTACCCTAATAACCAACATGATATCCTTATTGGCGCAACCTAGAAATTGTTTTTATTAAAAAACTGAAAACGAAACTCTTCCTTTATGAAATTTTACGCTGTATGATTTAAGCACAGCAGTAAACAACGCGACTCCGTGTGAAGGCGACACGACGCATGCAAAGCAAATTAAACATGGATGATCTTTTTCAATTAATTTTCGTTTCATTATTAATTGGATCAGCACAAGGTGCTTGTGATAGATCGGATGGACCTTCAGGTTCAACTGCGTGTGTTCTGTTGACGCCGTACTACAACAAGTACCAATGGGCAACATGTCTGACAGATACATACATTAAAGTATTTTCAGAAGGAAATCACATGTGTAGAGATTCATTGACGAAATACTGCTGGTATCAAGTTATGTAAGAGGTTAATGATGTAGATCAAGGTAAATTTAAATTTGTTATATTTTTATATACATTTTGCTGTATTTTTTTTTTTCATTTTTTTTGCTGCACACTCTTTTTAACATTATGTAATTTGACTTATAATGGGCCCAAACTGAAATTCTTATCTTATCTATTAAATTTTATGTGTCCGAGAGACTAGGAATTTTTGCGAATCGTTTAGATGCTTTCAATATTCATTGTTTGCTCATTTTAATATGTATCATGACACTAAATGAAAACTGGTTTGTGCGAGTCGGTTAAAAATATTTCTAGAATGTGATGTTTCGAAACATCTTTTTTACTTAAAACACAGTGTTTGGAAGACCTTATTGTCTGTATCTTTTTACAAATTTCAGAAAATAACAATCACGTTCAAGAAAAGCTAGAACATTTGTCATTATATTCTTAATAATACAGATTTCAAAACCTATCCTTACGGAGATAGAATAACATTAACACGATAGCTCAAAAGCTGAACGTCAGTAAACTGTAATATATAATTATAAAAATACAAATAATTTTACTTGCTTTTGAAATCTTTCGAAAATGATCAAATCACAATATCCGGGAACTCTGAAATTTGGTTGAAAATTTGGTGATGCAAAAAGAAAATATGAAGGGTCACTTTTCTGTTTAAATGAACAAATCATTATAACCTGACCAGGGCAATTGGTTATGTGAAGATATGGATGAAATTCCTTGAGACACGTTGATGGTTTGGTTATATGAGTAGCAATTTTAACAATAAGCAACTTATGGTAAACAATTTCCTGCTCATAAAAAAGACTTACTAACTTGAATGTTTCAGTACCGTCCATCAACAGGCTCAATCAAACCAAAACCGGGCCTGCAGCATTTTCAATTTTGCCGTGTTGGGCTTTCTTTAAGGATTCTGTTTTTCTTTACATTACTGATTATGAATAATAAACTTTAGATACAATATATTTCGACTGAGGGAGCTTTAGATGAATACAAAGAGATCTATTATGTTCTATTTCACTTTCCTTATGCTCTAAATGCGAATTACATAACAGAATGCGTACATTACAATTCGGCAATCACTTTGTTATTTTACAAAACTGGTTGATAAACTCCTAAAAAAAACGTAGTCAGTACTACTTGTTGTATATGGACTGTGGTATTTTAAAATAATAAAATACTCGTATTTATTAAAATTGTTTCAAAACTATACGAGTTACTTGGGAACTCATGTAATCGATGAAATTTTTACACTACATACTTGTGCATGCATGAGTACATTGCAACCGACCATATCGTAAAAACAGCTTTAAATTTTTTTTTGTCTTCCTCAAGTAATATTCAAAATGTTTATCGTTAAATATGTAAAAATGTAATTGCAACCTTAATTAACGAAAAATTGCGTATATTGTTTTCAAGCAGTGATGATATACGTTATTTTTCCGTCGTTTAATGAACGTTGGTCACTAAATCCTTCGAATTTTAGCGATTTATTTTGTTTCATTAAATCGATCCATTCGGAACTGCATCGGCTATTATCTATAATAACCTCGGAAACAATACGGATTGAAAGTAGTTCTACCACGTGGTTTCAGATGTAAACAGAAACAGAGATAATGTAAAACGAATGTTTATTTTTGACATCTAATGTCTGTTCCGGTACTATTATGATTGAAAATATGTCTGACAACAATTTGTAATTAAAATATGCCCACTGATGTTCAATTATAAACATATCCGACCAAATGTCAACATCTTGGTTTTTTGTACTTTCGGTTTCTACAACCATAATAATAAATATATAAATAATGTATTGTTTGCTTTTGTACCTATGAATCCACTTATTTTAGGTGGACTTTAACTACATATATTGGAAGTAAGTAAACTTGTCAACAACTCCCAGCATTCAATTACTATTTATTAACATGTTTAGTTTCTTAGCGTAGGTTAGACCGAAATATCGCATCCGTTCTGTGTATTCATACTATTGTGTTCGAGGTCCTTATCCGAACACTCACGGAAAGGGTCGAGTAGTTGCGATTGTGAATCGATCGTTGCTAAGCGTTTTCAGCGGCGTCTTTACATGATTCAAATCTATAAAAGCTTCACTTGAAGGGACCAATTTGGTCCAAAGTAGAAAATCCTTTACATGATTTCTTGATGTGACGGTCGGATTTATTAACCTAAGTTCATTCCGTCATCTATGGTCCGCTTAAAACAGACATAAAATCATTTTCCAATATTTCTTATGGTATAATTAATGGAGTATCAGTTCATACGGATATACATTATCCTAAATAAAGTTTATACAAATAATCTTTGTCAGTTATTTTGAAAGGCCGCTGAAACTAACTTGTTACTGGACATTTAATAGAGTGTTTAGGTTCTATATTAGAGTTAAGGTGAACGAAAATAAATAACATATCCTCATTTTCTTTACAAAATTAAATAAATTAGTGTGATAAAAGAAAGTTCAGGTGACTCTAGTTTACTGGTTACTTTATTACTCTTAATTTATAAACTTTGTTTTTCATTTCCTTAGGGCCAGTTTACGATAACTGTACCTGCGGGCCAGACGCTCCGAAAAAAGTTACGACACAACGACCGGTCGTGACGTCAGCCATTCCAGACTGGTGTTTTAGTCCGTCTGGTTCCGATTGTAGTTGGTACAAGGAATGTCTAGAGGTAGATATTACCATGAATACTTGTTTGTTTTAGTATAGTATTGTCCTTTTTTGTTTCATAACCGTCAAAAATATAGACAGTTTGAATCGAAGACAACCTGTATTTACACTTTTAATTATTAATGTTCCATTATGAATTTTGTTATTAAAGCTTTTTTTTCAACATATTGTTTCGATGTTTTAGCAGAATATTATCCAGCCAATTATTGTAAACATTCTTTGTACTCTTTGGAATATATGCAAAAGAGATCAAAATATAAGGTAAAAATACCGTAATTAATTTTGGTTTTGTTTGTTGTTGTTGTTGTTGTTTTAAGAAAAAGATTAACAAATTCTTCTTGTGGTTATATTTGTTTGGAACTGTCGAATATCTTTTGAGTGGAGTTTATGGGATTAATATCACTATTGACTTTTGCAGGCACGCTATCCGTGCAAAGAACAAGGCGACTCGTATGCTCTGGATTATGCAGGGAAATTTTGCAATTTATACCAAGATCATTACCAAGAATTTAACACCATTGGACAAGAATGGATCGATGCTGTAAGAAAATGTCTACAAGTTAAGCTTGTACCCATCCTTAGACCGTTTGTTGTGGCAACATGTGAGAGCATCAAACAAACAGCCTTTGATTCTCATTCTGGATGCTATCTTCATCCGGATTCTGGAAAGCCATCCATCTGTGATATTGGTGTGGGTAACTGGGCTCGTATATTTTGGACTGTAAAAGGCGCGCTAATTCAAGACGCGACGGAAACCTTAAAACAGATGTTGGATGTTGTTTCGGCATGTGGTACAGATATACTTTCACTTGGAATGGAGAACATACAAATGATATTTCGACGAGAGAAGGAAATGGTTCTGAGAAACCTTAATAAATTTGCGGAAAATATTGCAGACCAAATGGCAAGCAAGATGAAATGGAATACAAGAGGAATAAGTTTTTTCGGGTACCCAACTCTGATAACACCGAACCGTAACAAACGTGCTGCTGACATCAACACTAACACATTTTATATCAACATACTGATCGCTGCAAAATCCGTATTCGACCTTAACGCCGTCGATAGTCCCAGAGCTAATCTCTCAGCAGAGGCGATAAGCGTGGCTACATCCATTGAAAACGGCGATGTTCGCTTAGATATTGCACAGGGGATAGAGTTTAAAGAATTAAGTCTTTGCATCGACTACAACTGTACCGACACTTCTCTACAGGTAGAACCAGCACCGCCAAAGAAGAATGGAGTAAGCGCCTCAAATGTGAAACCGTTCACCATTGTTCTTACAATTATAGCGGCAATGGCAGCAAGTGTTCTTGCTTTGCATTTAAAAATGCTACGACATTGTCTACTTTCCTAATTATGGAAAACACACATTTTGATTTTATGTATGACACGCAAAAGAAGAATAAAATATCAAGCCCGATTGTATCTATATAGGGCGGTAACTATGCTTGTTTTACAAATCAATTATATTTTAAGCAAAATTAATGTAAAGTTATTGTTTTGTTTAGCACTTATTTCTGATAGCTGCATATGAACTGAATTCAAGAAGAGTAGTAATAAGGAAAACCAATCTCATTTGCAAATCAATGTGGATATGTTGCGCTTGTTGAAAATTGTGTAGCCAACGCATGGTATACACAGAATGACATGTTCAAAATGTTAATATCAACTGTAGACGTTAATGTTAATTTGCATATACATTACAATGAAACAGCAGCAGTTTGAAATCAAATCTATTAAAAAAAGAATGGAAAGGTTAATGTGCTTCATCTATTTTCCTGCTATATATTTTGTAAATATCTATTACCCAACGGAACTTATATATATATACACTACGCCAAGTTTTTTTTATCTTTTTATATATCGTTGACGGAAGTGAAACATTTGTATGTTTTGTACATCTGGATTACACGTGACGAAGACATTCAATACCATAAGTTTGTTAAATCACAGTCATAAGTTAATATTTTAGTGTGTTTTTTCCTACCTTCGTTACATTGCCAACTATTATAAACCCTTGAGAAAAATTCGAGTATGAGTTAACACCGATTTTATCACTACTACCTGCTTATACATTTGTACATTATGATTTAACTTATGATATTGTGCATTTTAATGCTGAAAATTTTTGTGCTTTAAATAAATTTCTAAAGAAAAAATGTACCTTTGGTTCATAAAAAAAGGGTAACGGGTGATTCGTGTCATTTTTTATTGAATTATTTTCAGCCCCAATTTGGGTTAACAGTTTTTTTTAAAGGTATATATATTCAAAACCAAAAGAATTTTGGAGGGCAAGTTATTTTAGAAAAATTTTTTTCAAAGTTTAAATAACCTAAAGCAGGTAAAATTCAGTAAAAATTATGTAAGAAAATTTTTATTTAAGAAATAATAGCCGAACCAAAAAAACGAAAAGGGGCGCAAAAAAAGGAAATCCAATTCAGATTAAAAGGGGGTTCCCTTTTGTAAAACGTGCATGTACAGTTTTTTAAATTTTTTGTTTTTTCCCCCAAATTTAAAAACTGAAACCCCAAATTAATTGGTCCCCGGGAAAATATAATTTTGGCTGACATCGCGTGATACAAACTTGAAGTAACAAAAGGGTTTAAAACCACCTTACTTGCTGGAGCTAAGCGATTTATAGACTCAAGCTTTGTCGGATACCCACGGCCGAACCATTAACATTTATCAGCCGTGGGATTTTTCGCTGATATCCAGTCGATAAGAGGTGTGTCAAAGACACATTGATTACCTCACGATTTCATGAGGTGATAAAAACCAATCAAAACGGTCGTTCTATGAGGGTTGTTCAAAAAGTAATAGGACTTTGTTGAAATGTTAATACTAGACAAACATATTGCTATAATTGTGGTCTCTGCTTGTGGTATAATTTGGTGCTGGGATAATTTTGCTTATGATATTGGCAAGAAACGTGAAACAGGTTTACACCGTGGGCGCTGCTATTTTGTTTATGATAATTGATTACCTTTACTGCCGAAGAATTTAAATTTTGCTAAATACGATTTCATTGGTCGATATTTTACGCACCTGTTGCTTAATATCGACGCAATTTAATTAATTTCACCCGCGGTTGATTTACATGTTATGTTGCATGTTAACTAATCAACCGTGGGTATCCGACGATGTACAACCATATTATGTAGGAAGTTTGTCAACAGAAATAGCTACTTCGTATGAATAAGACGCGACTGTTTTGAAATTTTTTCTGTTCATATAATTATAATTTATGCTTATAAGATGTAGACACATTTATCATCAAAATAAATTCTTTATTATCAAAATAAATGTTACATTAACAATAAGTGCTTTTGTATAAACAACCTGTGTGTATTTATACCTTTGCGTAAAGAGTCACCTTTGAAAATGGACATACATGTACATGGAGAAAAATGAACATGTTCCAAAATATATCTGAATAGAAAAATAAACTTCTATCGAGGGATCACACTTTCTCCAGATTTGAAATACTCATACAAGATATTGCTTTCGAAAGCAAATTTAATCTCCGATGCTCTTGATTCCACTTGTGCAGTGTTTTTTTCACACAGCGGTACAAAATGTTGCCTCGCAATGGTCATTCGAATCATTGGTTACGATACTTTATGAGTTGAAGAATAAAGTATACTAGAAACCTTATCAGGTGCTAAATTAATAGCTTTGTGACTTTGGATTTATACATGGTCTCTAATATACGATTGAAACAAAACGATTCGCTATAGGATAGAATATAAAAATATCATTTAAATATTTCTTTTAGTGAATATATTATTTGATCAGACAATTTGATGGGCTATCAGTGTAACGAAAAAAATATTATAATGTTAAAAATAATTATATAATAGTAAGATAAAAATAAAAAATTTTGAACGGACCTTTCTAAAAACGTTCCAGATAATTTTCTTGCTGGCTATAAAATCATACAAAAAAGAACCTTGATTCATAAACGTAAAAAATATTCAGTTAAGTCACAGGAAGTTATGTTGATTGTTCATTAGATTTCCTTAGTTTTTCTTGACATTTCTTCTAATTTTAGTGACGGAAGCACTGAGAAAAGGAATGATCGCGAAACCTGCAAAATAGGTTATAACCCGTCAGAAGCAGATTGTTCTGTCTGTAGGCAAATATGCAGTAAATACTTATTGTTTCAGCCTATTTTTCTTATTCAAAACTAGAGCAAATTAAAGACATAATGTAATCAATGGAACAATACAAATACATCATTTGTTATCCAAACTATTATATAGGCTTATGGGATAAATATTATAAAACTATGGACTTTTTAGCTGGTGGATATACTGTGATATGTACTGGAAAAAAATGATATTGACCGAGGCGATAGCCGAGGTCAATATCAATATTTCAGTACATATCACATCATATTCACCAGCTAAGATTACATATCTGGTTTATTATATAATTTATACATATTTTTTATATGGCTTATCAAATCTGCCGTCTACCTTTTCCATAATTGACCCTTTCTTTTAAAGAGCGCATTTTTAGCACGCTAATTCGTATTGTTCTTAAAAATGTAAAGACGGTAACTAAAATTGACTAATTTGACTCTTATTTACGAGCCAATCAACGTTTTTTCGAAACTTGGTTTTAATTGTTAGAATCGATCCTCACAAACAAATAGTATTTATATCAATATTTCAGTACATATCACATCATATTCACCAGCTTTACCCTAGAGAAAAGGGATAAATATATTTTAGTTGTTTGTATTATATTTATTTTATCAGAATATCAAAGCTAATGTGGTCATACCTGTTTACAAAAATAGAACTCAACCATGCATGAACAAATACTTAACCTAACTTTTCACATAATTTTGATTAAGGAAGTAAAAATTTATTTTTTGTGATTGTTTGGTATACGTGACGATAAACAACCACCCTGTTTGTTTGTTTGTTTGTTTGTTTCATCACTGATATATACATAACACCTTAGTTATGTCAGTAATATTGCGTGAAACCCTTCACAAGTTTGGTGGCTGATAAGGACAGAAAGTTATGTAACATATTTATCATTACATCTTGATATTTCATTTCCTTTTTCATTGCAACGACAGGCAATAAAGCCTAAGTTATTCAAAATATTTCGGATGAAAAATTGAAATCTGATTCATGCACATCAATTAAGTAGAAATGAAATAGCCGAATGGTCTGATTCTTTTTTGTGTGTGCCTCACTACCATAGTAATGTTTGTCATTAGGCATCAATTTACTTTGATGTTACTTAAAGTGATGAAATTTTATTCCTGTTTAGTAAGGCATTGTACTGGATACTAATGCTTGATTTTAATTCAAAACAAGTTCAAATGCCCTTGAAATAATATATAATGCAAACTAGTATTAAGATTAATTTGTTGATTTATACGAAAGCCCTATAGTATCAAATGAAATAAAATGAAATATGGAAAGGCGTTATAACGCGAACAAGGTCGTTATAACGCGAACCAAAAGGGGTAATTACGGGAATCTAAAGGCGTAATTACGCAAAACAAAAAGGCGTTTTAACTTAAAATAAGGGCTAGTAACGTTGCTAGTAACGTTAGAAAAGGAAAACAAAATTGATCTGAAAATTAATTTTTTAACGGTTTAAGGGCCTATAAATTTGACATATTTTATCCCTTTTTTCGGTTATTACCATTTCTTTCGCGAATAACGTCTTTTGTTGGGATAATTACCCTTACTCGCGTTACCATCCTTTGTTTGCGTATTTTCCCTTTTAAATTGGGGTTTTAAAGTTTTTTTTTTTTTTATATTATAAAATTTTAAGATTTTTTTTCGCGTTAAAAAAGCCTTTTATTCCTTAATTTTTGCCCTTTTGTTTTGTTTTAACCCTTAATTGGGCACACATGACAGACCGGAAACTTTTTAAATTTTTGAAATTTTAAATACGTTTATGTACAAAAAAAAGGGATTTTTAAATTTTAAAGAACTTAACATGGAATGGGAAATCAAATTTTATAAAGCCAACCCAAAACTTTTTTGATGTAAACTCCTGCCTTAACGTGTCGCAATCTCTAGCTCTTGTAAATCCGTCATGATCAGGGGTTCTTCTAAGATGTCGAATAGGACACACTAGAGTTACACATTCACACATAATCATCTTTAGATAGGCGGTGATACTCGTTTTTGCATAGGTTGCAATGAATATTTCAATGTCAAACATTTCTTCTCCTTGAATGATATGATCTTGCGCTGGTTCGTGATATATTAGTCAATTCACTCTCAAAACTTTTTGTCTCAATTCCTTTCAAAACTGTGATCGACTACTTTAAGAAAATATCCTGTATTATCAGATTTACCTTACTCATTTTATAACCTTGTAGTGACGCTTATTTT